TCATTTTATTAGAGATATTATTTCAAAAGGTGTTGTGAAACTTGAAAAGATATCTACTAATTACAACCCCATTGATATAGGTACCAAAGTTCTACCTTTAAACAAATTCTTGGAGTGCTTGACCTTGCTTATCTGTGGATGCTGCAAATCTGTGCTGATGATATCTGTGTTATGAATAACTACTAATGAATATGAATCATTGTACCAAGGTGGAGTATGAAGGGAAAATATGGCACAATGATGCAAAAAGACATTGGGCCTAATTGAGATGGCCCAGCTATTAAATCTGATATGTTTTTACTTGGTACAAAAATGTGTTTGAGAAATGGCTTGAAGTTGTGTTTCACTTACCTGATGAAATGGACTCCAAGGATGTCACCATGTGTCACCTCCAACACCGTTGGATTGGTGACTGTTGAGTGACCCTTATAAAGGGCTTCTAAGGTTGGATCACTGTACACTTTTGAGCTTCGAGACTCTTTTATATTTCTCTCATTTGCTGCGCTGTTTCTTCGAGACCTCTTCTTTTTCTGTAGAAATCAAATATGCTCATTTGATTTCTGTTTTTCTTTCAATAGTGTATAATCTTGTGTGATTTCATTGTTTGAGTGTTGGTTCTTGTGTGAGCCGTGTGCTATAGTTGAAGAGAGATCTTGTACTTGCGAAATATTGGTCTAGTCTGAGTGTCTACTTTTGTATTTCTACTTTGGGACTTGATTTGAGCATAAACGATGTTTTATTCTTGAGGCCAAAGCACAGACTGTGATGTGTAGCATGTGGGCTTCGTTCGTTCTTAATAAAAGATACGTTTCTTTCATTTTGCAGTTTATCTTGTGTTAATTTTTTACAGCTCATTTTGGTTTCTTTTAGCATATATATTTTGGTTGATCTTGTGAGCTAATTTGTGAACTCCTCCCAACAGGGCACACAAAACTCATGTCCTATCTTGCATTGGGCGCACACAGCCTCTTGGTTATATAAAGATTGGAAATTAGCATAAAGTTTAAAAATTAAAGAAAACTTTATATGGATTAAGACATGCCCCATGAGCTTGGTATAGTCGAATTGGTACTTATTTTTCGAATGAAGGTTTTAAAAATGTCCATATGAATACACACTTTTTGTTAAAATTGGTGATAAATGAAAAATGTTCATTGTTTGCTTATATGTTGATGATTTAATCTACATCGGAAATGATAGTGCTATGTTTGAAAAATTTAAGAAATCCATGATGGCTAAGTTTGATATGTCTAATCTTGGAATGATGCATTATTTTCTATGTATTGAAATAGAACTTCTTGCTTGGATTTTTTTTCTCAAAACAAATATGCAAACAGGTTTAAAATGAAGAAGTGCAATTCAGCGAGCATACCTATGGAAACATGATTAAAGCTTGTTAAAAATTCGGAAGGAAGAAATGTAGATAACACTCTTTACAAGCAGATTGTGGGAAGTTTAATGTATTTGATAGCAACAAGACTAATCATAATGCATATTATAGTCTCATTAGTAGGTACATGAAGCAAACTAGAGAGATGCATCTCTAGCTGCTAATACGATTTTTCGATACTTGCAAAGAACCATTGACTATGGGGGTGAAAAGTTAAATTTGTTTGGTTTTATTGACGGTGACTATGTAGGTGATCTTGATGATAGGAAAAGTACATTTGACTATATTTTCCTGATGGGTCAATAGTTGTTTCGCGGTATTCAAAGAAGTAACCGAAACAGCATGAAGTTAAATACAAATGAAAAAAAACTCAAATCCAGTAGTGTTGCAAAGGTAAAAAGCAAATATGCATAAAAGTTGTGAGATGACCTAACTTATGCAAATGTTCATCACTTGGTGGCACAGTGTTTTCATCTGCATCTAACAACACAACATGAAGTTAAATATAAATGAAAAAACAAGTAAAAATTCATGCATTCATAAATCAAGATTCGAGAATAAAGATTTTTAAACTCGAGTTTAACTAAATCCTAAATATATTATGTCTCTTGTAACATGTGCATGTAACCAGCATGACGTCATGTACGTTGATGTGCACATGATTTGTGATATTATGACGTGACGAAGTATCACTTATTAGCGAATTAGTCTTTCCTTATTGGTGAATTCAACTATACAAAAACAAAATGCAGCTCGATTTTAAAGTGTCGAAATTAAATGGATAAACGAATCGAGCCATTAGACATAATATTTCCGAGTTTGATATCGTACATTTAGCCCACTACACCAAAAATGACCTTTTGTAACATGCAAAAGGCAACATTCATTAATTAAATGTTGCTAAAGGGGTCTATCGCAATATTTTAACAAGTGAATGTTGCTATGGCTAACATAATTGAGTTTTCGCAACATTTATTAAATAAATGTTGCTAATGTCGCATTTTGAAAGGTTTTAAAAATATTGCAAAAAGTTTAAGTTTTTACAACGTTATTAAAATCTGGTTTTATAGCAACGTTCATGGCCTCTTGTGGAAACTCTCTATATAAAGTTTTTTGCAATGTTTATTGACAGTTGTGAAAAGATTACTTTTTTGAAAGTTTTTTAATTGTTGCGAAAAATTTAATTTTTTGCAACGTTTTTTGAACATTGTGAAAAGTTCACTTTTTGCAACGTTTTTTAAATGTTGCGAAATTTTTTACCTTTTGCAACGTGTATCAAATGTTGTTAAAAATGATACCAAAGTTGAGGGACTCATATTAATTATTGAATTGTTTCCCATTTCCTAAATTTTATTTCCCTCACGTTACCCTCTTTCTCTTTCCTTTCTTTCCTTCGTCTTCCCTTTCCCTCAAAGAGCGAAGCTAACGAGAAATTGTTGTTTGAAGCAGCAAGCTGGTGATAGAAAATGGGCATAGCTACAGTTCTAGGCTTTTGTTCCGTCGGTAAGGAAATATGATAATTGTTTCAACTTTCGATTAGATGCAATTCAGTTCTCTTTTTGTAATTTTTAGGGTTTTCTACCTTTGTTAAATTCCCTTTTTGTGTTCTTTCTTAAGATCGAGCGGTCGACTTCAACTGTTTTGGTGTTTTGGTGGCCGATTCTTGGCCTCTTACCAAAACCTGGAACCTAAGTCCTCCTCTTCCGGCTCTATCCTCTAGTGGTCCTGGAACAAGGTAAGATAATCCACATGTTGCACTCTACTATTATGCTTTCTTCTCCATGTTAGAGTTATTGTTGCTTTAGTATTACTATGTATTAATTGATAACTTGCTCATCCGGTCATTCTGAGTTTCTGAGGGAGGCATATGGTAGGGGATGCTTGGTTGAGCCAAACCCAGTTTATGAGGCTTGGAGAAAGCTTCTTTATCTTGTTGCTATAGGGTGTCGTGGCTTGGACAGAGGCACTGATGAGTTGAAGATTATGGAAAGTGACGGAAACAGAGTGAAAGAAGAGCTACTGAATTAGGGAAGTAACTCATTTGGGTCTTTATTGAGTGAATGATATGCTAAGTGATAATGGAGCGTCTAGGAGGATAAGAAGTGAAGGTCCTTAATAAGATGCCTCAAGGAGTTCGGTCAAAGGGAACACATAATGCACAAATGGACCAGAAGTTGGGATATGCTCCTGCTCCTGTCCTCAGAGGTAACTACGTTATTGCTAGGAGGATATGGCGCCTATTATTTGGTAAATTAGATAGGCTAATCTTTTGTGGGAGATCTATACCATAATAAAGTATACAATTGATTTTCCTATGAAAAAAATTTATACTAAAATCTTATTTATTGGAAAGTTTGAGCTGGGAAGAAAGAGATACTTTCACAACCATCTCCAGTATGCCAAATTTTGGGTCATTGTACCAAATTGCTAATGAACTAGACTTGGTAACTATTGATGAGATTTGTGACTTCCTCACAACATCTTTAATTAAGGTGTGATATTGTATTTTAACTAGTACTCAGGCTACTGGTTAATTTAGACAAGTTAAGTTATTAGAATTATTCTGGGTTCAGTTCTGGTGGAAGCCCAGTTCCATGATTAAGTGCAAAGTTGCAAGTGGTAAACATATCTATTAAAAACATAGTTGTGCAATCTTGCATAGTTTCTTTTTACACCTGAATGTTAGTTAAATGTGAATGCGTGGTCACTTTGTTGCCAAAATTTACGATTGGATGTTAATATTTCTCTTTTTTTTTTTGCAGCATATTCCTAGAATTAATGGTGAAATACCCTCAATCGATAAAGCAACTTTAGATCATCAAAGGCTTCTAGACAATTATTGGAATTCCATTTCTTGACACGATGAACACTTGATGAAATGATTATCATATTTTTGGCAACTACGTGACAGATTTGTGGCAATGAGCATGTAAACTTTAGACATGCTCTTAGATTTGGGAAAAAAATGCCACTGAAGCTAATATTTCTTGGAGAAATGCTGATTGTTCTCAATGACAGCCTATGATATATGATATCTTTGCAATCCTTGTCTTCATTCGTAATCCAAATTCTATTGCCTATTGGTGTTAAAAGAAAAAAGATGCTGTAAATTTTCATCAAGTGCTATAATTGAACTTGAGCTCAACTGTTTAGCGAAGTGCAGCCAGGATTCATATAGACATCTTTGTTGTTCTAGTCAGCCAATCAGGTGATGGTTGCTGTGTACAAGTGATGGTTGGATATTCAGACTCAGGTAAAGATCCTGGCCGCTTTACTGCTGCATGGGAACTTTACAAAGCTCAAGAAGATGTTGTAGCTGCATGCAATGAATACGGTGTAAAGGTTACTCTGTTCCATGGGCGTGGAGGGAGTATTGAATGTTTCAATATTGTGTAAACAAGAAGAGAAGCTATAGAAGTTTGTGAAGTAATTACTATAAAGAATTCATGGATTTAGATGGTGTCATAATTTTTCCTCTAGAAGAGTGTAAGGATTCAAAAATTTGTAATGAAATTAACTATTTTTATGCAATTTCAAAATTTTTTCGTAAGGAATATTTTCAATTTTGCCGGTCATTTTACATAAATTACTATAAAAAAAAAAAACCCTACGGCAACGTCAAAAAACGTTGCAAAAAGATTATTAGCAACATTCAAAAAACGTTGCGAAAAGGTTATTAGCAACATTCAAAAAACGTTGCAAAAAGTTATTAGCAACATTTAAATAACGTTGTCGTATCCTACTACTCTACGACAACGTCGAGGTTTGCAACATACGTCCAAATGTTGCAAAAAGTCTCCGACAACATTTTTTGAACATTGTAAAATACTATTTTTGTTTTAGTGACTTGAAAATTAGTGGCCCAAGTGCTAGCAAAAAGAAAAAGAATGAATGTAATAAACAACACTATATACCTTGCTCAGATCTTCCCCCAGCCGTTTCATTCCTATCTTTTGGTACTAGCTAACCGTTTGAAAACTCGCACGTAAATGGGATTGTGATCAAGTAATATAGTAGTGTGTAAAACGTCGAACCCACAAGGACTACGTGTTTTATCGAGTTAAAGTTAATAATACCCTTAATCGAACATCAATAATAATTTGTAATAAATCCATGTCTAATTTATCACGTACAATAAATCAAAGTAAACGTTTATCAAATTTTTGAGATGCATTGCTAAGATTTAGAATCCCCCTTGTTAATCCATTTTTAGTATAACAATTAAAATGGCTCTTTATTATCATGCGAGTTGGTTGAAGTTCCAATTTTATTTAAAAGCCTCTCTCGATAGCAATTAAATCTAATCCTATATGTGACATTTCTATATCTCTATGAAAGATACCAACATATAAAAAAGTATTAAAAGAGCTAGAACATCAAAATAACCATGCGAAGCATAGAGGTATATCTCTATCCTCTATCGAACCTCACAATGTTTATTACTACGTGTTATCAATTCTATTATCTCTCTCGATAAT